CATTAACACTTTGACAGAGTGGCAGCTGACAGACCTTGTTGAAAGATTTAAAGGTAAGAAATATTATTTTTCCCATCCACAGCATATCAAGTCTGCATTGCTACTCAAGCCTTTTTCAGACATGAGCAACGGACAATTTCCGTTTAATCAGCCACGGACATCACCCGTTTATACTCTTTCACACGTGTAGCACACATCTGCACATTGTCCATGATAGAAGTGTTCACACTCACTGGATATATATTGTTTAATTCAGGCAAGTGGCATGAGCTGGGTGGAGCGGGTTAGGGTCAGAGCATGTCGCAGAAAGTATGCAGCGGATATGAGTCCCTGTGCTGTGTAACCTGCTGTGTTCAAAAATGTGTTCTACATGGACATGATACTAGGGAGCCCGCAGGTAAATGTCGGATACAGGTCCCGGCCGTTTGATACGCACATTTTCGTTCACACATACTGCCATAACTGATGTCTGCAAATTGTAGTATTCAGTATTCAGTGCATGTGTTGAAGGGGCTATAGTGATAATTTGGACAGTCATGGTGTTGACTGCATTCCTTTTTTGTATAAATTCTTATGAAATATAATTTCCTCTTTTTTTCAATAGCTTCCATCTAATGTGTCAAAGTGACTCCAATAGGTGAATAGGGCACATGTCTTTTGTAGGCTTTCAGTGCTTCATTCTATTTTGTAATATATATTACATGTTATATGCATAGGCATGTTTATTACTACAGCTTCCATTTAATTACCCATACATTTTTGTTTTGTGCTCCTCTGTTGTAAAAACAAAGATGTCTTTGTGTTTTCTATTTTTGTCTTTCAGAGGAGGGGATTGATGAGGAGAGTTTTCTTCTTTTAGATCAGGCTACCATCAACCAGTTGATCCCAAGAGCTGGCCCTAGGTTGAAGTTCCTCAAAAAATGTAGAGGACTTGTAAGTAGTTAAGATCAATGTAGACATGAGAGGCTCAATTCTTAAGTTTTCCACACATCAGATAATGTGGCAGTTGACATCATGCATGATGTACTGGAAGGGGTGGGGCCCTATGAAGTCAAACTTGTGCTGAATTCGCTAATTGAACAAAAGCATCTCACACTAGAAAAGCTCAATTACAGAATAACAAGCTTTGACGATGGATTTTGTGATAAGGGTAACAAACCTTCTGTCATAAGCAATCTCAGAAACCCTGAAGGCTCCATGCGGCAGTCAGCATCTCAAATGTGGTGCCTACTTAGGTTACTGCCGACAATGATAGGTGACCTTATCCCTATGGATAACAAGCATTGGGAACTTCTACTCCTCCTACTCTTGTGCATGGTGTTCATCTTTTCTTCTTCGCTTACTGTAGCAGCCACACTGTACTTAAGCAAAATTATTGAAGAGCATCACTCCCTCTTCCTGGAGCTCTATCCTCACCTACATTTATGGCCAAAACACCACTTCATGCTCCATTACCCAGGAGTCATTCAAAAACTCGGACGGTTGTGGCAGTTCTGGCGATGAGATTTGAAGCTCGACATGCATTTTTCAAACAGGTTAGCCATGTAACTTGCAACTTCAGAAACATTTGTAAAACCATGGCATTTCGCCATCAGATGATGCAGTGCTACAATTTCCTGTGTGGAACTGTGTTGTGCCACAATACAGAAGTTGGTCCAGGGTACACTACATTTCTGGCCAACAATGAGGGATTTAAAGAGATCCAAAGTGGTCTAGAAGGTATTCTCCTTTTTAGTGAATTGTATGTGCCAGCCTGGGTTACATTTAAGGGAACTGAATATAGAGCAGGCATGACTGTATTCCTGTCCTATGATCCGTATGGAGAGCCTCAGTTTGGTGTCATACAATCAGTTTTAGTACTGGAGCAAACATCACATACATCAACAGTAAAGCTTGTTGTAAAGAAGTGGGAAACACAGTGGTTTGATAGGCATTTATTTGCATACAGTGTGATTCCCACTCAAGTTTTGGCAGCTGTAGATGTGAGAGAGCTGCTTGATCACCATCCCATCCATGCAGTCAAGTCGCACAGAGAGGATGATGACAGTTTATACATTTTCCTGTGCTATAGACTTTTTTAGATTATCAGCCAACTGCCACCAGGTGTGTGTGTGTGTGTGTGTGTGTGTGTGTGTGTGTGTGTGTATGACACTTGTAAATAGTATTTTGACAGGTTTATAGATGTTGAAGAGGCCTAGCTTGACATTGTCCCCCATATTAGTTTAGTTTTTAGCCATACATGCTGCGAAAAATGTCAGGATGCTTGAGGATGATCAGTATTTGACTGATGGGATGGGAAGAACTACTGGACTTCTGGGATGGGATGACGTTACTGAACTACTGGGATGTTCTTGAAATTATTACTGGGATGTTATAAGTTGTACTGTAAGTATTTTTTGGTTTAATTACTTAATGTCTATCTGCTCCATATACAGTCTTAGTCACTGCCACAGTTATGTTTTAGAAGTCACTTTTTTAAGGACACCTGCATGGTACAAGAAAGCAAACGTGTCACCTTTTACACCTAAAAACAGGGCACTGGGGTGAAGAATTTCGGAGCGGTTTTGTGTCTGAAACCATGTGCCCTGTTTTTAGGTTTGTATTGTAACAAATGGCGGAGAGTGCACCCCACTGGTCTTAAACCCGGGTCCCCAAGCCTGCTTCCTAACCGCAACACCAAGAGAGGAAGCTCTGCTTGGCAGAGCTGTTAGTTAGCCTCATATACTGCCCAGAGTTCGCTACAGTATAAATCCTTAGGCAGTGAGAATGCCAGCCAGTACACATCTGTCACACCATGCATACTGTATGCAGTCTTCTGAGTCCACTAGTCTAATGTGGCAAAATGCACAGTTTTATATCTTGACCCCCCACCTAATCTGTCACCTTGTTCACTATCCATCCAGGAGTTTACATTACTGATGCTTAACAAGCTATTCTAGGTGGCTGCCACTGTTTATCATATTAACCTGGATTTTCTGCATAGGTTGAACCTGCTGTTGTGCCTGCTATCCCACCTACAATCTCTGATGTCACACCAACTGCCACTCCTCCAAACCCCATGGAGGAACAAGCAGCAGCTGTGGTACCAGTGAATCAGCTGATACAGACAATACACATCATTCCACAGTTTGTAAGTTCCACTTTAAGACTTGGGTGTCACTTTGTTTAATCAACACTTATAAGCGACTAAATTAATTTGATTAGCCTTTTAAGCCCCATGCTTGTTTGGCATATCTTCACTTAATATAGCCGATCTACAAGCTTGGCCGGAGTCCATATCTGAGCAGAAAATAGCCGATCTACAAGTTCACAACGCATCGCATTTCAATTCTGTGAGCTTGTAGATCAGCTAATTTCTGCAAAAGCTTCCCTAAAATATGGATGCTGGGGTTTACGTGGTTAACCCCTTAAGCCCTATGTTATATTTTGCTGTGCAATGGTGGTGCTTGAAAAGAGTGAAAATAGCTCTCTACAAGCTCACAACACATTGTGATGCGCTGTGAGCTAATCGTTCATTAATTGTAATCAAGGCAAAAGTTTGAAATAATGGTGATATTGATTTGAATTCATATCACCCTTCCCTTAATAAAAAGTGAGATATCTGCAATGTTGTCTCTTCTTGCAATTTTCTCAGGATGTCCGGCAGATTCTTACAGGCTTACATGAGGGCAAGCAAATTGTTGAGGGCCTTGATGATGATAATGTCATCACAACTAGCCAGAGACGTCTCCTCGTCCGTATCTTGGTGTCGTACCTCATTAAGACGTTTGGAGAGAAGTACTTTATTTATTTTTTATGTTGAATAGGGTTCCTGTTAAATACGCCAACATTCTCATTTGAAAAGTAAATTAACATGTAGTTTATTTTCATTTCACTTAAGATAAAACAGGACACTACTTTGAGGTCTGACATTGACCTAGATTTGCTAGGCAGAACCAACATTTCACCTTGGTGACTTTTCCAACTGCTACAGCTTTTTTTTGGGGATACGACACATTTTTCAGCAGTACTTTAAAGGGGTAGTTTGAATTATAGGACATAAAGAAAGATAATTAATTAATAACCCAAGTCCTGTGTTTTGAATTTTGATTTGGTTAGTTTACGTTTACTCCACAAAACTCATTGCATTTGTATTGTTGACTTTGTTGACATGCTGTCACTAGGCACAATTTTCTGTATTTGCTATGCAACTTATCAATGCGCCTCCGCTGTTCACTGCCTGCAGGTGACCACAGCACAACGTGTCCTTACGCGAGCTTTTGCATGTACATGCACATTGATAAGAGGTTGTACAGCAAATACAGAAAATAGTGCCTAGTTGAATGGACACAGCGGTTTTATAGAAGAAATAAGTCAACAATACAACTGCAATTAGTTTTTTGTGGAGTAAGGTTTTTTAAATTTCTTTGTTCCAGCCAACTCACTGGAACTACTTGATATGAATCATAAGCAAATCAAAACTTTGAACACGAAACTCTGGTTATAAATGAATCCCTTCACATTGCATATATTAACTGTAAGTATTTCATACATCTTTATGTCCTACAATCCAAACTATCCATTTAAATCTAGTTTTCACTTTTTACTTGTGTTTTTTCTGTTTTACGGTCCTACGACAGATATCATAAAGGCACTGGCATCGGCTTTGGTTCAGTCATTTGCCAGTTTGAAAGACTCATCAAGCAGTGGCAGCGTGAGTGTTTTTTGAAAAATGTCATTGAGATATTTATTTGGGGTGTCATGATCCTCAAACTGATTCAGTTTGATTTTTAAGGTTGCAATCCAATTAGATTTTCAATTTAAACTTTACTTAGTTAAATGGAGTAAGCTGAGGGCTCTATACCAGGCCCCCTTCTGTTTTTGCTAAACAATAATTGGTCTACTTCTCTGAGGACAGACAGACATACAGACAAACCCTGTTCTAACCGTAGCCCACGCTGTCAAAGTCAAATATGCCTCATCTCTATTCATTAAAAATTTAGATTTCTTGGCAGGAAATATGGTACACCCCAGGACGGAGCCACCGGCCAGCCACTGGATTCCTGGAGGAAAGGCTGCGGAACATCATGAAGAGGCTGAGATCAACCAGCAGGTCACGGAGCACGGCACAGACACCACGCAAACGCCAGATGATCGCGCTCTTGCAATGGCTCTCATATGAGATAATTATTAAACTGAAAAATTATTTGATGAAGCAAAACATCCATATTTCAGTGACTGACAACTTTCTTGTTCTTTTTTACAGAATGTACCATATCAGACGAACAAGCTTAAAGAATGGTTGAGAAACAATTCTCAGCCCCTCAGCCAGATAGAGACCTATAGTCTACAGGGCCAAGTGGATTAGGGACAACAATTGGACTATCGATCAGATCCTCGAAGAGTTCCCTCGCCTAATGACCAAAGGCATGGTAGGTTTAGGGAAATATGATCTTTCATATGAGGATGCATTGTTTATAACGTTTTATTAGTGTGCCACATTGAATTGGTTTAAAAATGTGTTTTCCATTTTATAGATTGCACAGGACTTTCTTGTCTTGGCTACCCATTTATGCTGAGAAGATCCTGCACATGGCAAGACGGGAGGGGCAGCTGACATTGCCCCTGGATGGATTAACACCAGGTAATATATTCTTGTCTGCAGACCTTGTAAATGCAGGGTTTTCCCTGGGTTTTTAGGGGGCTTAGGGGGGTTTAGCATTCCTCTGTCCAACATTGTTGAAGGTTTTTGACCAAAAACAGTGCAATTTCACATCATTTTGGCCACTATCATTACTATAGGTAACTAAAAAAGAAGTGTAAATTTGCTTTAGTTATTAACACCTGTATTTGCACAATTCACAGCCTTCTCGAACATTTTACACAGTGTAAAACAACATGAGCTCTGAGAATAGTGAGTGATATCATCATAGGAATATAGTTAAATAAATCTGTCAGCCTCTTTATGCTAATTGGTACAAAAAAGTCCAAGTTTTCACAGCAGAGTCAACACAGCAGTACCGGTGTAACTAACATCTACGAATGCTCTGTTCCAATGAGAACTGAGTTAAATGCAGTTGTTATTAATTCATGTAATTGATTGACTGAATGAATTGAATTGAATAAGATTTATGAGCAAGTCACTCAGTAACTCAGAATTGATTTGGCAAATTTGACCTTGCATTACCAGATCGCCATTACCCTCCGCTTCCATAGGGAGGCGTTAACAGACTGGTGACGGTAAGAAAAAATACAAGCAAAACAAGCCACGGTCAGCTATAATCAGACTCTCCGTGTACTCACGCTGCTAACAGACAAGTCGACTGGAGCTTTGACAGTCACTATAAGCACATTAATAGCCCTTTGTGAATGTTTTTGTGTGGTACTGTGTTGTTTTAGCTGAGCTAGTGACTCTACTATGAGGCATGTGGGTTTTATTTTAGTTGAATATTGAATGACAAAATCACAGGTATGCCATTCCACATCATATTGATACCTATGTCTTCCAACAGATGGCTTTGGGGAACTCGCCCTGAGGCAGCTGCCAGCCTTGCTTCCACCTACAACTTACAAAGTTGGCCGTGGCTGCGGTGCTAAAGTGGTTTGCCACACCATTCAGGAGTGCAGCTTGGCCTTCCTCGACCATAAGCCTGTAAGTCCTCCAGCACATCTAGAGGGGAAACTTTATTCATTTTATTAATATATCTGGGCCCAAGATTGTGTACATGCATATCCAGGTTTGTTTTATTATACTTGTGGGGACAGGCATCAAATATAGCTTGACAGTATTTGGAAAATAGCCGATCTACAAGCTTACAACGCGTTGGTCACTATCAAAGCATCCTGGGCTTCTAGAACACCTCGGCAGTGCCACAGGCTGTTTACCTCTGTACCACACCGCACTGATGCAGTAATTTGTTCTAAAACAGGCCCCAACAAAGTATTGAGTGCAGAAATTAACATATTTATCAGAAGGTTGACACTTTTGTATTTTAACCCATTTGGACCTGACTCTATGAGGTTGACTCTAAAAAGGTCTTCTAAATCTACAAAGCATTTGCGGCCCACCTATCTGACCACCTAACCCAGCTGCCTATTGGCCAGATAGGATAGTCAGATAGGTGGGCCGCACGCATTTTCAGAGCATGTTCATTGTAATGATAAATCATCAATCGATTTATGGCTTCTTAGTTCAGCTGAGGTCTGAATCCTTTTTTAAATTGTTTTCTGTAATGTGAGCTATATGCCATAACCATCAAGAATATTTTGTTATGTGCAATGAAATGTAGACTATTACAGTTCTACTTTTTGAATTAGAGATGCACTGAATCTTTTCCAAATTGTAAAGCTAACTAGACTTTATCATAAAACAATAATTTCTTGGTAGACATTTGGTTCTTACTCACTCGCACTCTCTCACTTGCTCTCTTGTATTATTTCTTTTTTAGCCTGGAATAAACATGGTGGAGTACCTCCATGAGGCCAAGGCATGCAAACCATACCCCTACATCCTGACGCTGGGAATGATCAGAGTGCATTTCAGGCCTTCGTCATCATAGCTGGACAGGCCTTGGAACAAGAAGCACTGCTTCAGGCCATTGATGTCTGTTTCAAAGCATTCTTTGTCTTAGACATTAAATACCCGAAGCAGTGTGAACATGTGTGGGAATTCATACAGAGTGTAATCTATGAAATGCCAGGAGGGGAGTCCAAAATGGTAAAGTTTCTTCAAACTAGAATACTTGCTTGCAATTCGAGCTAATGGCCTCAAGGACAGCTTTCTAATACAGGAATTTGAAAAATGTTCACTATAGACCTGTTGACTGTTGGCCTGTTGAATGTTCAGCCCGGTCATTCATAATTGTTGTTTTGCACTGAATGTTTTACTCCCTGAATGATTTTAACTGTTCCAGTTCCACTATATTGTTGATATTTTCTAATAATAAATGTTTTCAAAGATTCCAGTATTGTTTAAGTGTTTATTGCATAATATATGCATAAATCTAGCATGTATTTTGTTATAGGTTTGTAGTTTAACAGTTTTATAGCTATGGGTAGTCTATTGCAATTTATTTTCTTAAATTGTACTGTAATGTGTTAGAATTAATCTGGCATATTGGTTTATTTGACCCAGCATTTGGGTAGAGTATATAACAAATATGTAGTTGAAACAACCCAGAATTGTAATTGATTTAACCCAGCATTTGGGTAGAATATTTATCTCATCTGTTGGGTTAAAAAGGACCAACCCATCTTGCTGGGTCAAATTAACTACTGCTGGTCCGATGCAATATTGATCCAGCGGTTGGGTTATAAAACAACCCAAGTTGGGTTATTTTTAACCCATCATTTTTCTGTGACTTTATCTAGCCAGAGTCTGCAAGTATGTCACAGACAAGGTGCTATGCTGTTCTTTGGAGGCCCCTATTTAGTGAAACTTTGGAGATTCTAAATCATCTAAAGTCCAGAGCCATGCTTTTAAAATATATATGCATCATCTGGTGCACGTTAAGAAGAATAGTGGCTAGGTCTGTGAAAAATTCAAATCAAACATCTCAAATTGACACCAGCAATTTAAACCTAAAGAAAATGATGATACACAAGGAACACTACACCCAAAAACGTACAGGATTTACAGAATTTGAATCACATCTGCTAAATGAGCATAAATGAGACAGATGCTTCATTTTCCCTAAAATGTTTATTTTTACTGTGGTTGTCATGGAAACCAGTAGACTTCAACCAACACCTTACAGCAGAATTACAGTTGAATTTGTGCTAAACCATGTGTTTGTGACAAGTAGCCTAAACTGTTAAGGAGGTAAATAAATATCAGAAGAAGAAGAAGAAGAAGAACAGAATAATTTACCTAAACATCCATTCAAACGCTTCAGATATTTGTAATCAATATGTTATTCAGTTATTTTTAACAAAGTACATTTTAAAATGTTTGTTTTGTCAATGGAGTTTGGAATGTGTGACATCTTGAACACACACATCTACTTAAAAGCATCTTATTATAAATGCACATTTAAGTCCTTTATATCTTGTAATTTGAGGCCAAAATGTTCCTTTAATTTGCAGGATTAAGGGAACATTTTGGCCTTGAACATTGATTCAAAATATTCAAACGTTACTTTGACTGTGAGGACAGAAGCAACATTAGGAGCCTCAGTTTATTCAGTTAAGGATCAAATTCAGCTTTTAAAGTTACTGATTCTCCTCTATAACTGAAGATTAAGTTAGTTTCGATTAGTTATTATAAATTAACCATTAGACACTATTTACATGAGGGTGTTGGCTACCAAAAGAGACCAGTAATTTTAATTTCTTAAAATGAATAAATAAATAATAGACTGTATTATAGCCTACCATCTATACATAAATTGGCAGCTTGGGCAAGGGAGGGAATCTGTGTGTCTCCCTCAAAATTGCCTGACAAAATGCACCTACCGCCCTAATAATGTGTGATACTTTAAATTGTGAATTATATTTAATGTCATTAGAAACACATTGAAAGACAAAGTCACAGACAGATCAGAATAATAGGTAGGTAGCTGATTTGTAAAGTCTGAGAGAACTGTTGCTCTATAAACAGCAGTCAATGGTTGTCAGACTGCTGTAGAAGAAAGTCTCTCATTTTCTTCCAGGTGATAACAATATCATAAGCCAACACCCCCTTCCCCTTCTTTTCTTTTCTTCTGTTTGTGTATAAAATACAAAGACACATATATTGGACATTTTGTGGTTGTACTGAATAATTTATTGCCATAAAAGTATAACTAAAAATGTCTTTGTGTTTGGCCTGCAATATGTCATTACAGCTCCATTCAATAACCACTTCTGCGAGCCTTCAAGTCTATGACTTTATATCCGTATGATTACATCTGTATGTATGTGTGTGCCTGTTGTGCAAAATGTTATCTGTGTGTACGTGGGTGTTACTTTAGATGATCTGTTCAGATATGTCATTGTTACACTGCAATGAAATACTTGAGTATTCTAACGCTGTGTACTATTACAAAATAATTTCTCAGTATCTATATGATCTAAACAAGGACTTTATGTGCTGTGAGAGCCAAGGTCAGCAGCGCAGCGCTGATCCTGACACTCCACGGTGCTCCACAGACGATCGTGGCGTTTGAACCAAACAGAGCTTCATGAGCGACCTGCAATGTGCAAAGGTTTCTGGACACACAGCCGAGCTCCAACACCTCTTTGGAGTTTGATGTTGCTATGGAAGAAGTGCGAGAAAGATAGGGTTATTAGAAATAGAAGGACTTCATTAAATAAGTACATTTTGTCAAATTATAGTAGTATATTAAAGCATTTTGGTGGTGATGGTGACATGTTTACTGATAACTAAGATACAGTCATGAGGGGGAATTTAACCTGATAGACACAGGTATCACAGTGATGGGTCAGATTTTTTTGTTTCACATTCCAGGGATCCAAAGGAGGCCATAACAGCAAAAAGTTTCATGAAATAATTGACTTACACATTAATTGGCGACCTCATTGATCTTCATGTTCAAAATTAAAATTAGATTTTGTATGGTTGATAATCACTGTATAACTGTATTTTTTAGTAGTATTATTTGTAGCTTGAATAGTGTTTTATCAATAAGGTTTGCTGTGCTAGCATGAACATCAATAGCCTCTATATTTAAGAGAAATCACATCACTGTACAGTCATTTCCCTGGGGAACTCACTGGTGCCATTGAAGCAACTGTCCTCGACTCCAGCACAGGAGAGAGTGGCATTGCAGGTCCCCGCTAGGCTGTCAGCTGAGCTTGCACACGAAGGACATTGCTTCCCATTCTCTGAAGGATTGGGAACTGGAAACATGGAAGAGAAGGAAATGAAACATGTACAAATTAATCTTATAACACCAATCCTCAAGCTGAAAGAATTTCACTGAATTGATCCTTCCTAAGCCCCGCCCTTTTTTGTCTGTGCTCTAATAACAGTAGAACAAGCCTCGATTAAAACCTTGGTATATTTCTATATGCTATGTGCTAGCCTTGTCTATGTTGAAAATACAAATTTTAAAGTTAGATGTTATTTTGAAGATGGTTTCCCTCTGCTTCCGGTCTTTATGCTAAGCTAGGCTAAGCATGTTCTGACTCCAGCTTCCTACTTGCATGAGAGTGGTATCAATCTTTTACATCTCAGTGTCAGAAGGGAAAGAAAATAATATATTTCCCAACATGCAGAAATCTACTTTTAAAATAAATGGTGAGACTAATGTTTAAGCTAGCCCTGGGCTAGGAAATGCAAGTGCAAGAGGCTTTAGTAAAGGCCACAGACTGGTTTATGACCCATAATGAAAAGTAGCAATAGATCTTACTGGCCAGTGTCTGGAAGTTGCAGTTGTCAGTAACACAGCAAAACTGGGTGTGGGCTTCTTTCTTAAAACCTCTGTTCACAGACCATTCAGTTTCAATGAGGAGAGGAGTGAAGCAGGACACCAGCGATGAACAGTTTTTATTCACTGACAGATTAACGATTGTATTGGTCACTGTCACTGTCAGGAGAAAAAGAAAAAAATGGGTATGATAGAAGAACAAAATTATTCACTCGTGTTATTTGTCGTGAGAACAGTATGAAACTTTGCCTTATATTTCATTAACATGATTGATGATAAAGCATTGGATAGACAATGTTATGAATAACTGGCACCAACCTGAAGTGACAGTTTTGCACACTATACTCGTAGCAGGACATTCGACTGAGGTGGAGTTTGTACATAGGTCATTGTCACACACATGGCAGCGCAGCGACTCAGCTGGAAAGTGAACAAAATCATTTATTTAGCATTTAACTAATTTCTGTATTATTATTATTATTATTATTATTATTATTATTATTATTATTATTCTGGTCAAGAAAACCATCCAAAACCCAAAGATAATTACTTTACAATTAAATAACAAATCCTCACAGTGGAGAAGCTACAATCAGTGCATATTTGGCATTTTGCCCAACTCAGCAGATCAATTTATATTTAAAAAGGTGATATATCAGAATTGTATGTTGTATAAGTCTAAATTTCCTGCTCCACTAATTCCTCCTGTGTAGAAATGTAGAAAGCTCTGAACTTCACATGCAAATAAAAAACCATGCAGCATGGAAAACTGTGCAAGGCTCCTGCTTTGTGTGGTAAAAATGGCATTCCAAAAACCTTAACTACATCAAATAAATACAGAACAATAACATACAGTATGTTTTGCATTGATACAGATACAGAAGCTTGCGTGTGTCAGACAACTCTGATGCCTGGAGAAAGCCAGTTACCTGTGTAAAGCAGAGTGCAGGTCAGACAGACAGTCAGCAGCAGCTTCATGTTGGATGTAAGTTGTAGCAGTTTGGTGTTTTGAGGCAGAAACCCCACAGCTTATATACAGTCAGGTGGTGCTACCATAAGATATGGACTAGGAACTTCCTGGTTGATTGAAAAGAAACAAATATTCTTATAGTTTTTTTCAAACCCAACAGGAAGTGTGAATGGGTGGCACCTGAACAAAACTTGATGTTAACTGTTAACTGATATCAGCTTTGGAACCAGTTTAACGGCTGTTTATCTGATCATTTAGGTTTTGACTACTTTCTATTCTCTCTCAGGACCATAAGCTTTAGCCGTTCTACATGTGAGTGCAGGGGCAGCCAAAGCTATATATGAGGTTGCTGCAAAAGAAAATCAACGGGCAAGCAAGGTGTACCTGGATAATCAATTCATTTTTCTTGGTTTTCCTGTTGTGACACTGTGAAGAATAAGCGAATGTCATTTAAGATATGCAAATAGACCTGTCTGAGGCAGATAGCACCCACAGCACAGACGGCATGCCTGTGTCGTACTGACACGCATTATGCCTTTGATTATCATCTCCTGACGCAGGTTTATATCCTCACAAGGAAGGAGTTCCGGTCAGGATTCCTCGATAAGAGCTTCGTTAACATCTTTACAAAATGCTGATGTTCAACAAACACAGGCCTCAACTCGGCACGAACGTGTCATTTGAAGTTGGTTTTAAATGGGTCAGCATACATTACATTTATACTGACTGCCACCCATCCATCCATTTCCGGCTGTTGGTCAGGTTTGCAGTGCACTGTTAGCCCGGATTTCATATCTAATCAAACAATCAAGTAGAATGTAATTAATACATTTAAGTTTGATTGCATTACTATCAAATGTAAGTATATTCTACTAATTAGAAGTAGAATATACTTAAATTTGATAGCAATATAATGTGTGAATAATTTTAAGTTTAATGGGCTGGAAGTGATTAAAGGTCCAGTGTGTAATATTTATGGTGATTTATTAACAGAAATGTAATATAATACATATAACTATATTGTTAGTGCTCTATAGTCACCCTATGAAACGAGTCGTTATGTTTTTATTACTTTAGATTTCCACTACTTTGCCAAGCGAAGAAGAAGGCGGATGTGACGTAGGAGGCGGAGGAAGCCGTGTTTACTAGTTTCTAACTTTGTTGTGTTTTGTTAGTTTGAGAAGTTATATTTATTCTCCTTGTCTGTTTCTTTCTGTCAGGACGCAAGTGACAAGGACTTGTACAGTCAGATGCCAGTGGGAACCTTCTGCATTGACGAAAATCCTCAGCTCAACCCATCCAGAGCAGGCATCGTCCTGGAGGGGGTTGTGGTCATGGAGGAGCTGGCCAACCTACCACAGGCCTTTTTGGACTGATTTATGCCTTGCACTTAGATTACCCTAAGTTCATGAAAAACACCTTCCAGTTCATTCAGCAGGTAATGCTCAACCTGGGCAGAGGTGAGCTTGCACCAAAAATCCAAACGCTGAAAAATCAACTGTGTCTAAAACGGTGTTCTGAAATATACCTGTCATGTCCAGGAAACTTTGTTAAGTTAATTCATTCAGTTTTGTCTCGTGTCTATGTTGTCTTGTGATTTCCTGTTTTATTTTGGTTCCACTTCCTGTCTGTCTCTTTTACTTTTCTTTTTTTTCTTACTTTCTCCCTTTTGTCTGTTTTCCCGCTCTTGGCATTACCTGTCTCCGCCCTGATTGTTTCCACCTGTGCCCTTACCTTGTGTATATATATATAGTCCGTGTCTCTCTTTGTCCTATGCCAGTTCATCTTGTCCCATGTGTCAGAGAACCAGCGCTTTATCCATACCACTGCCACTGCCATTGTCAGGTCTTGTTGTTTTGTTACTTTGTTTAAGAGTGATTTTCTGTTTGTTTTCTTAGTCTTAGTATTACCTCGTAAGAGTGATTTTTTGTTTGTTAATAAAAACTTTATTTTGAAACTTTCGTCTGAGAGTTGTGCATTTGGGTTCTGGTCCATAGTTCAGTCGTGACAATACCACTGTTCCAGATATCAGTGCTTGGTTCTGTTGCACGTCTGAAATACCATGTTTACTGTTTTGCACTGTTTGTGATATGTTTTTAAGTATTTCCACTGTCTTTCTGATGATCAGATGATGGTATTTGTACTGATCTAGCAGTTTGGTTCCATCTGTATTGCTAGGCATATTTTATGGTTTTATTGTGGGTTTTTTATTAACGGGACTTAGGGTCCTTGTAGTGCTCCAGCAATCCTGTCATAGTGGGAGCGTGGAAGGAACTGGCATTGTGCACATCAAAGCTAAAGTTGTGGTTCCACTTTCCAATTTGTGCATGTAGAGAGCAGCAGAAGTTAACAGAGAAGAGGCAGTCTTCTTTCCCTTCTAAAATATACAGAGCGTTGACGGGTGGAACTATGAACCACACTGGGCCCAGGGGTGGCTCATCACCCTGCGCAACAACCAGGATCTGGAAAACAAAAGAGAACAAAACGTATAGAGTGGGATAACATGTTTTAAAAACATTGTTAAAATGTTATGTGGTAACTTTTTTAAATGATTACAATATTAGGAAAAACTAATATTTTATAAAAGAACATTTCATAATCTGTTACCATAATGTTACCAAACATTCTAAGAATATGCTTGCAGGCGAAATGTTTGTATACATGTCACATTACACACGTTTTCTCAAAAAATGCCTTCAATAACATGCTTAAATAATTTTGCATTAAAAATGCTTAAAAACTGCTGCCTCAATAATGTCCCTAAAACATCCTCAGAATTCTGCAGGCAAAATGTTCTACCTTTGTTAACATTTCACATTATAAGAATGTTTTAAAAAAAACTTTCGGTCATCTCAGGCCTCAATAAAATCCTCAAAACATTTCTCAAATGTTACTTTTGTTATTCTGTTGTTATCATGTAACATAATGGGTGCCTCTGAGAACATCCTCAAAACATCTAATGATATTTTTTTTAAACTTAGCCTGGATTGTCACCCTGTGAAGGACATTCATTTTCGCTACATATATCTTTTTTTTTTGTCATTAACCAAAGAATGTGACCATAGGAGAGGGTTGGAAGGCTCAGCTTCCTCCTCACAACAGTCAGGTACAATGATGGCATACCTGCAGACACTGTGATCACTCTGTCGGTCTTACACTACACCTTACCTCGCAGTTGTTATATAGTATAATGTGTGTTGCTTTACCACTGCCCTGTTCCCTCTGGGTGCTTCTATTCCAGGTATCGCCCTTTCCTTCGACTTCGTCAGGCAGTCTGGCAATTCATTCATTCATCAGTCCAGCCGGCTTCATAAGAGAGCAACAGCAAGCAGACGGGAGCAGTGGGCCAAACAGCGAACTAGAGCTGTGTGTTGTGCTGTTGTACTGAGTGGCCTTCAGTGTTTATTTGCTTAATTAATAGTTTTGTGTTTATAGTAATTTATTTCCCCTTTCTCTTTTAAGGAAGTAGATTTTAGTTGAAACTGAGCTTTTCATTTCTAAGTATTCATGGCTAATAAACATATTTTGTTTGTACATATAATTCTGTTTTTGCATCTATCTTTTATGCTGGGTTTATTCTTTAATTGTTACTCCTGTCACCCCTGGATTTGACATCTGAGGTCGTAACAGCAGTACACAAGACCACCTCACATTTGGCGACATAAATGTTCCAGTTTTTCTTTTCTTGCTAGATTGGAATTTTCTACAAAGTGTGCTTGCACACTATGTGCTGGGACATACGTAGACAGCATGCTGCAGATATCCTGTGGTATCACTTATCACTGAATGAGGTGTACACGATAATGATCAAATCTTAAACAGCCAGGTGGTGAAACTGCATTCCATTCTGGATATCTATGTCACCTGTCGCAAACTAACTAATATTTTCAATGCTTTCAACATTAAAAGGATAGTTTGTGGTTTGAAATGTTATTTAGAGATATAGATTCTTGTCGGAGGGACTGACTCAGCTTAAAGAGAGACCGAGAAAACTTTTTACTTGCTCCCAAGTCCGTTTCACACAGCCAGGGTTTCTGCTGGGAGAATAAGGCAAAATCTTTCCACACTGAGTTTGCCTTTAATAAATACAATCAAAGCCTTATTAACAAATGCATAGATTCTGTCCACAGAGACACTAGGGGGCTTTTAATCTGAAACGGATACAGGAGGTGTGAAGTTAACCCATAAGAACCCATGGTGACATGTGTCACACACACTTTAAATGTCCTTAAATCTTCCATATACAGCCTTATGCTTGACCTGAACTCATTAAGTCCCTAAGTGACATATACAAAACATTGTGGTGTGGTGGTCATATGACAGTCATGTGACTGTGACAGGAAGTGTCCTTTCCAAAACATGGGTGTGGTTGTAAAACAGAAATGAAAGAAGTAGCTGAAGTCAAAAAGCTTGTTTTTTTTTACTAAGGTAAGTTTAAACCCATTTAACAATTCTAATGCTTTAATAGTATGTCCTGTATTGCATTTAACCTGTTCTGACCATATTTCCTGAACAAAATAATATAAAACAAGTTACAAAATACGTCACAGCGGGATAAAGTCATCATGGTAACCCTGATGTGACGTCTGTGTCACAATAACAAAAAAGTTAAAAGGCCACTCAATTAATTTCACTGTTTAAATTTTTTACAATTAATAAATGCCCTGTTGTTCAATTTAAAGTATATTTGAAGATATATAAACAAAAAAAAATCTAATTATTTAGGTATTAATAAAATATGTTATGAAACAATTTTTGCATATCGGTAAAAAAAATAATTTTACAATCCTATGCTGGTCCCATTTTAATTTAACTGTTTTTTATTAATTTTTATTTATTTATTTGTAGTATGAAAAGGAATGAGGGCTACACTCTTCAGGATGCACTGGAGATTATCTTGGGAGATGAGATTGAGTTTGAGGGATGTGAAGATAACTCGGATGAAGACCTTGACGATCCTAATTACACTCCCAATAACGAAGACATGGAGAGTGATGAGTCAAGTGATTGTGGTGATTCAAACAACAGTGAACCAAATGATTTAGATGAAGTACCACAACCAAACCCAGGGCAGGTAAATACAACTGTCCAAGGAACTGAACAAGGA